TGAAATTAGATAGCTGTGTTATCCCTGCCTAGGAAAGCATGTCTTTAAAGGCCTACACCTGTTGAAGCAGCCATCCCTTCTCTGCCTGGTGTGCTTCCCATGGTGAGGAGGCCAGGAGGCTGGGATGGTAGTGGAGCACCTGGAGTTACTTCCCTAGCTCTGCCTGAGGCACATGCTCGCTGCCTGACTCCTCTGTTCTATTTAATATGCACTTCAGGTATGGTAAGTCAAGGTTATGAGGTTTTATTTTCTGTCACTTAGGACTAGTACACCCCCTCAATAATTGGAGTTTATCATATTTTACTAAAATATGATTTTTGTCTTGTCAATGAGATCAAGCATATACAGCAGTCTTTAAGCAGATTGTTCAAATCAATACATGTGAAATAAATTCTTTTCCTTTTTTCTAAGAAAGAGAAACTGGGAAGAAAATTCATTAGACAGTAATGCATAGAGATTTTTTTACACCTATGAGAAGCCAGAAATGCACATAAAGCTAAGAACTTCAAAAACATTTCTTAGACACAGACTGTTAAATGCCCGTAGATGTTTTTGATTTCCCACTACATTAAAATACACAAAGGAATTTCATATTCTGAACATTTAAAAATAGCTCAATCTTAAAAAGAAAATACAAAGTATTATCAGCTGTGCTTTTTGTACATAATTAGCATGTGCCTGTGGAGGTATAATGACTTTTAGTGTAATGATATTACTCATGATAAAAAGTACAGATGGTAATGATTGGAGCTACAGCTGAGTAACACATTTAAAAATAATTCAAAATGACTCCACAGAAAGCATGCTATTTTAGTCCCTAGTAATCCCCTTTTTACTCATCAGTGAATTTAAAGGCACCAATAAAATATTCTTTTTAAAATGTTTCGTTTTCCATTTTTATACACCAATAATGAGCTATCAGAAAAAGAAACTAAGAAAACAATCCCATTTACCATTAAAACAACAACAACAACAAAATAAGGTACCTAGGAATAAATTTAACCAAGGAGGTAAAAGACCTGTACTTGGAAAACTATAGGACATTGAAAAGAGAAATTGAGGAAGATACAAATAAGTGGATGCATATACCTTGTTCCATGGATGGGAAGAATTAACATCATTAAAATTAAAATGTCCATACTACCCAAAGCAATCAATAGATTCAATGGAATTCCTATTAAAATACTAGTGGCATATTTCACAGATCTAGAACAAACATTCCAGAAATTTATATGGAACAAAAAAGACCCAAAATAGCTGCAGCAATTTTGAGAAAGAAGAACAAAGTTGGAGGCATCACAATACCATATATCAAATTATACTACAAAGCCATTGTAATAAAACTGCCTGGTACTGACAGAAAAAACAGGCATGTAGATCAATGGAATAGAACAGAGAGCCCAGAAATCATCCCATGCCTTTATGGCCAATTAATAATTGACAAGAGCATACAATGGAGTAAAGACAGTCTCTTTAATAAATGGTGTTGGGAAAATTAGACAGGTACATGCAAAAAAATGAAACTAGACCACCAACTTACACCACATACAAGAATAAACTGAAAATGGATACAGGACTTAAATGTGAGTCATGAAACCATAAAAATCCTGGACGAAGACATAGACAATAAAATCTCACCTCTCATATATTGTTGCCAAGGGAAACAGGAAAAAAACAAATGGGACTACATCCAGCTAAAAAGCTTTGCACAGCAAAAAACCCCGAAAAGCCATCAACAAAATGAAAAGAGAACCAACTGTATGACAGAATATATTTGCCAATGATATCTATATATATAAAATCCTAAGCGACCGTTATGACTGAACGACTGGAATGACTGGTTGACCAGTCGCTATGAAGCACACTGACCACCAGGGAGCAGATGCTCAATGTAGGAGCTGCCCCCTGGTGGTCAGTGTGCTCCCACAGCCAACCTACCGTGACCCCTCTCCCCAGCTGGCCAACTTCACGGGGCTGGCCAACTTCCCGTGGCCCCTCCCCCCAGCCTGCCAACCTACCGCAGTCCCTCCTCCCAGCAGGTCCCTCTGCCCGGCCGGCTGGCCAACCTCCCATGGTACCTCCCCCTGGCCAGCCCCTCCCTCCAGCTGGCCACCCCGATCGCCCCATTGGGGCTGACCAGGAACCCTCCCATGATCCCTCCCCCTTGTTCCTTCCCCCGGCCAGCAGACCCTGATCAGGACTGGGAAAGATGGCCGTGATCCCCAGCCAGGCCTAGGGACTCCACCTGTGCACAAATTTGTGCACCGGGCCTCTGATAAGGGGCTAATTTCCAAAATATACACTGAGTGGCAAATTAGCTATAATTTTGCACTGAAGTTGCTAGAGAGCCAGACCATTATAAATAGGGAAGCAGGTTGTTTACCACGACAGTAGAAGTGATTTTTTTCTGAAGATATGGGTAAACAATGCGATTTAACAGCCTTTGAACGTGGGATATATATTATTATGAGTGGCCAGATTATTATGACCACCTGATATTTGTAGGCAAATTAGCCGTAACTGCATCGTATGGGATATGGAAGCCGAAGGTGGTATCTGTCTGCAGTTACCAAGATAAAACGTCTGCAGTTACCAAGATAAAACGTCTCCAATTCGCACAGGAACACAAGAATTGAACAGTTGAGCATTGGAAGAAAGTCATGTGGTCTGAGGAATCATGTTTCCAGTTGCATCATGCAGATGGCAGAGTGAGAATTTGGCGGAAACATCATGAAAGCATGCACCCCACATGCATGAGTACAACCCTTCAAGCTGGTGGGGGCAGTGTTATGGTTTGGGGCATGTTTTCCTGGCATGATTTGGGCCCTTTAATTCGTGTGGAACAATGTCTGAATAGCACAACATACCTAAGTATCATTCCTGATCAAGTTCATCCTATCATGTTGATGGCGTATCGCAATGGAGATGGCTTCTTCCAACAAGGCAATGCGCCATGCCACGGTGCTTGTATTGTGCAGGAGTGATTTCAAGAACATGAGGGAGACTTTACCTTGCTTAGGTGGCCCCCACAATCACCAGATCTCAATCCAATTGAGCATTTGTGGGACCAAGGTGAAAGAGCCATCAGGCAGCTGGTTCCACAACCATCAAATCTCACAGAACTGGACAGTGCTATTCATCAGGCATGGTGTCAGATTTCTTGCATCACCTTTCAACATCTCGTGGAGTCAATGCCAAGAAGAATCGCTGCAGTATTGAAGGCAGTTATGGCTTGCCCTAACAGGTTTGGCTCGGTGGATAGAGTGTCGGCCTGTGGACTGAAGGGTCCCCGGTTCGATTCCAGTCAAGGGCATGTACCTTGGTTGTGGGCACATCCCCAGTAGGGGGTGTGCAGGAGGCATCTGTTCAATGTTTCTCTCTCATCGATGTTTCTAACTCTCTATCCTTCTCCCTTCCTCTCTGTAAAAAAAAAAAAAAATCAATAAAATATATTAAAAAAAAAAAAAAAGGTGGTCCAACGAAGTACTGATGGGGTGGTCATAATAATCTGGCCACTCAGTGTGTGTATGTGTGTGTGTGTGTGTGTGTGTGTGTGTGTATCCCACATTCAAAGGCTGTTAAATCACGTTGTTTACTCATCAGAAAAAAATCACTTCTATCGTGGTAAACAGCCTGCTTCCCTATTTATAATGGTCTGGCCCTCTAGCAACTTTAGCGCAAAATTATAGCTAATTTGCCTACAAACGTCAGATGGTCATAATAATCTGGCCACTCAGTGTATATGGAACCTATACAGCTCAATACCAAGAAGACACACAATCCAATAAAAAAAAATGGACAAAGGACCTGAATAGACACTTCTCTAAAGAGGACATACAGATGGCCAATAAACATGAAAAAATGCTCACAGTCACTAATCATCTGAGAGATTCAAATTAAAACTACAATGAGATCTGATCTGACTTCACAGCTGCCAGAATGGCTACCATCAATAAATCAACAAACAACAGGTGCTGGAGAGGATATGGAGACAAGGGAACCCTAGTGCAATATGGTGTGAACGTGGATTGGTGCAGCCATTTTGGAAAACAGTATGGAGGTTCCTCAAAAAATTAAAAATGGAACTGTCTTTTGACACAGAGATTCCACTTCTGGTACTATATCCTAAGAATCCCGAAACACCAATTCAAAATACATGCACCCCTATGTTCATAGCAGCATTATTTATAATAGCTAAGATCTGGAAACGGTCCAAGTGCTCATCAGTAGATGAGTGGATAGAAAAGCTTTGGTACATTTACACAATGGGATACTACTCAGCTGTAAAAATAAAGGAGCTCTTACCTTTTATGACAGCACTAGAGGCCTGGTGCATGAAATTCGTGCACGTGGAGGAGTCCCTCAGCCCAGCCTGCACCCTCTCTACTCTGGGACTCCTCGAGAGATGTCTGACTGCCAGTTTAGGTCTGATTCCGCAGGGATCCCTCTCACAATCCGGGACTGCTGGCTTCTACCTGCTCACCTGCCTGCTGGCCTGATCCCCCTAACTGCTCTCCCCTGCTGGCCTGATCACCCTAACTGCTCTCCCATGCCGGCCTGATCACCCCTAACTGCCTCTGCCTCGGCCCCGCCACCATGGCTTTGTCCAGAAGGACGTCCGGAAGATATCCAGTCTAATTAGCATATTATCCTTTTATTAGTATAGATGGATGGACCTGGAGATGATTATCAAACACTATATGATCTCACATGTGGCATCTAGTGAACAAATTAAACTGACGAACAAAATAGAACCACAGGCATGGATACGTGGAACAGACTGACAGATGTGAGAGGAGGTGGGTGGGGAGGACTGGATGAAAGAAGGTGAAGGGATTAGCCAAAGAACATATATGCATAGCCCATAGACACCGACTATAGTGTGATGAGGGCTGAAGGGAGAGGACAGGGTCTGGTGGAGGCGGGCAAACGGGGAAAAGTGGGGACATTTATAATAGTGTCATCAATAAAAAATGTTTCATTTTCCCCCTTTCTTACAGATTTGATATGTGCTTACTGTTTCCTTCAGTGCTTAACAGGCCACAGTGAAGGTACATCACCTTTGCCCCTTTTTTGAGATGGCTCAAGATTCAGTAGGACTTCCTTCTGATTATCAGTTTTGGATGCGGAAGCTGTCTGTATGGGGCCAGGCCTCCACTGTGGAAACCCAGCAAGACATCTGCCATCACCTACCTCAGTTCCAGGAGTTCCTGAGGCAGATTTATGAAACCTTAAAAGAAATGGTAAGTAGTGACCAAAATTAATGCCAGCAGGGACTCTTTACCAGATTTCACCAAGCCTTAATTTTATCCAAGGTCAGGAATTTGTGTTATTGACCTACTGTACTGAAGGAGTAGAAAGACGAATTTTACCCTTAGGTAATACAGACAGGAAGTGGTTTCCTGTCTGTATTACCATAATGGTCTCTGACTCATTATGACTTCGTCTATTCTTCTTGATTAGTTATATTGTCACATAAGACTTCCTGACCGTCAGATTGTTTTTTAATAAATAAAACTTGGGCACTTGTTGTCAGGTAATAATTGGGATTCTTTTAAAGGCCTTTGACTCTCTTAAATATTGAAGAGTTTACTGAAATGCTTACCTTTTCCTCAATCCTGTTTTAAAGTGAGCTCTACCAAAAAGTAATATTATTAAGATATCTTCTTTTAAATATTTTAAGTGGCCTTTTCTGGTATATATTAAGATTTTGAGTGTCTTTACAATTATATTTTTATTTTGGTATGATTTGTTTTTATCCTAATAGATATATTTGTAAATTAATGTATTTTTATATTATCAAAATATTATTTGTTTTATACTTATTGTCTCACTTCAAGATGCAAAGCAAAAGTGTGATTCAACATAGACGTTCTTGTGTTATACTTTTACTCCCATAATCACAGAAGCAAGTAGGAAATTTGAAGGATAATTCATATCGGTGGTATGAGTTCATATGTCTTTTGACCCTGCAAAGAAAGATGCAGTCTGTATGAACAACCAATGCTAATTTTAAAATTGTTTTTTATAATAAGACTTCTGTAACTTGATCTTAAAGTGGTCCCAGGAAGTCTAAGACTGGCCTCGATGCTGAGACAATGTGAAGAATTTATTGCTGCAGCAGTAGGAAATGCTTATCATTTCACCCTGTGTGCACATTATCTCAGTTTGGTCTCATTTTTGAACTTTATTTGAAAGATAAAGAAGTGGGAAAAGGCCACTGTACAACAGCATGCATATTTTTAAATCTTAAGCTGTTTTCTATTTAGTTGGCCGATTTTTTTTTTTTTTTAAATATATTTTATTGATTTTTTACAGAGAGGAAGGGAGAGAGACAGAGAGTTAGAAACATCGATGAGAGAGAAACATCGATCAGCTGCCTCCTGCACACCTCCCACTGGGGATGTGCCCGCAACCCAGGCACATGCCCTTGACCGGAATCGAACCTGGGACCTTTCAGTCCGCAGACCGACGCTCTATCTACTGAGCCAAACCGGTTCTGGCATAGTTGGCCGATTTTTGTCTCAGGTTTTAGATTGTTGTAGACTGAGTCTGGTGCCATTTAGCATATAGTAATCAAAGTAGTAATACACATAGATAAATATCTTTATGCTTTGGCTGCTTTTATTTCTTTATATAAGTTCCAGAGTTTTTGTCCTCTTAAACCTTCTTTGAAATAGCCCTTCTGGAGCTCAGTTAGGATCATCTTTTATTTTGTTAGAAAAAAACTCCAGGATAAAGATAAGAAATTATAAAGATATTAATCACCCATAATGTTTTTTCACTGTTATGTGGCCTTTCTTATTTTTAAATAAAGTGGCATTTCCTGACTGTTAAGTATGAATAAAGTGGAGTTAATTTGGTAACAAAATTGATTTTACTAAATGTGCTGTACATCTTACTTAGTGTTGGTGACCTGGTTTAAGGATGAACAATGGTGGTTGTTGTTAGGGTTGCCGAAGGAGGCACGCATGAGGCCAAAGTGGTAAAGAATCATGAATTTATTAGGTTATCTGGAAAACCAGATGGGCTGAGCCCCAAAATGGCACCAGCATCCAGGGACGGGGAGTCAGAGATTTTAAAGGACTCTAGGCGGGCTTTTCTGGGCGGAGAATTCTCTGGGAGAGTCCCCAGAGGAAAGATAATGGTCTTAGCAAGTGGAATGTGGTCTAGGCAAAAGGGAATGTTGGTTGTGAAATGACCTAAAGGTCAGTTCCCAGGGGAGAGGGTATCCATTCGATTATTTGATCAGACCTAACAGTTGCTTGTTAATCTTTATTTGAAGAACATACTGAAAGATCTTTTCTAATTCTATTTTCCTTACTTTTCTGAAATATATACTAAAACAAGAAGCATTCAAGTTCCCTCAAGCCATAGTGTCAGTTCAGTCTTTCTGAGTGATATAGGGCCCTTTTACTGACCAAAGCATAATTTTCTTTTACAGGATTCAAGTACAATCATTGAAAGATTTCCCACAATTGGTCAACTATTGGCAAAAACTTGCTGGAATCCTTTTATCTTAGCATATGGTAAGAATCCAAAGCATGCTCTCTCAAAACACAAACTTCTAATGATATCTTTAGTCTGCATTGTTTAATAAAATACAGAGCTTTAAATTATAAACCTGTTTTCTGTATTTCACAAAGCAACTTTTTAAATGTATATTCTTTGCTCCATTACAAAATGGCATCCTTCATTGTTTATATATGTTTATGTATGTTTGTATAGATAAACACACACACACACACACGCAGATCTGTAGGGAATATAATTCTTTGTGTTAGAGGGTAGAAACTCCCAGATGATTATCATAACCTCATTTTTAATTCAGTATAAAATGGATTTAATAATTAAATAATTTTTATTTCCCAGTTTCATATTAGCACACGTACTGTTTTTCATGTGTAAAATTATTCTTCAGAGTCTGAATCCTTCATGACTCTACCATTATTTAGGGATGACAACCTGGTTTTACCAAAGATTAAGAGGAATTTGGGATTCACTGGGGAGGTGTAACTTTACTGATCCCCTGCCTACCTGTCCCGCCTCATTTCTTGTTTAATTCCTCACAACTACACCACATTTGTGGTAGCCAGGTCAGATTACTAACTGTGCCTGAAGTACATGATGTTAGAGCCTGTGACATGCAATTCCTGTTGCCTAGAACTCTGTTCTCTCTCCTCCTCATAAACCTTTTAAATCACCTTGTTGGGGCTGAGTTGGGAACCTGTCTTAGTATTTCCATATCCACTAGCATTTCCCTTAATTATACAGTAACACTTACTACACTGTTTATAATTGTTGGTTTGCCTGTCTGATATCCTGGAAGACTGAATGTCTTTCAGGAGCAGGAACTGTGGTTTTAGTTCTTTGTTGTCCTAGGGCCTATGGTAGGGTGGAGCAGGTGCATCTGAAGGTACACAATCGAGGCTTATTGCCTTAAATTGACTATATTATTAGCTAATGTAATATTTACTTTTCATATTTTTAGTCAAAGACTGATTGTGTAACATGATATCAGAATAAGAAATAAAATGAATATTTCTTTTTGATGTTTTAAAGAATTATTTCTCTCTCCTAACCTGTCATACATAAATTATTATAAGAAACATAAACTAGGTGGGGAAGGGACATCAGCATTTGGTCCTGTGAGCATACATGCATGTGTGCATTGAACACACTCAAACTCACTTTCTCTGGCCCCACGCTCATCTACTTCTTTTCCTTTCCACTCTGCCTCTTGCTGCTGCTTCTCTCTTGAGTTGATTCTACCTACCCCAACCACTGAGCCTGTTCAATTTATTTTTTTTAATCCTACTTGAGGATATTTTTCCATTTATTTTTAGAGAGAGCGGAAGAGAGAGAGAAAGAGAGAAATATCGATGTGAGAGAAATACATCAATTGGTTGCCTCCTGTACACACCCTGACAAGGCCTGGGCTGGGGAGGAGCCTGCACCAAGGTACATGCCCTTGACCGGAATCGAACCCGGGACCCTTCTGTTCACAGGCCTACGCTCTGTCCACTGAGCCAAACCTGCTGGGGCCTGTTCAAGTTCTTGACCTGAAATGGCAAAGCCTTCTTTGTACAGCCATCACTGTATTGCCACTCTTACCAGGGCCACAGATCCCTGTCTTGTATTTATGTATTTTAGTGGTGCCACTGAAATGTACTGCTAATGAGCTTACTTTGTTTTAGGAATTTACAGATGCACGCCATCACTTGTTATTCATGAATGCCACAAGCACACTACAGGGGATGGCCTGTCTCAGGATCCTTCCTGGAGGCCCTGACTTTGGGACTGGAGCATCCAGCCAGGCAATTAAGTGAGATGGGAAACTGACAGCAGATCTTACTGCAAAGTTTTTATTCTGAAAAAGAGTGGAAATGAAAGGAATATACCAATATATATTTGCCACCTAATATTTTATTTTTTTATATCTTAAACTGAAATTTCAAATAAAAGTTAATTCTTTAAACTTTAATTCTATAGTTTAAAAGCATGAAGGCAGCATTTTTTGAGACAATAAATATTGTTTCAGCTGCCAAGTTTGGGGCTAATTGTTACACAGCAATAGATAGCAAATAGTGAGGAAGAGAGGTTATAGCTGTTAAGTTTGAATAAAGAGATAGAATCAAGGGTTCCAAGGAGGTAAGGCTCTAGTTCAGAGAACACCACTGAATAAAAGGTGCCTCTCCCTTTCTATTATTACCTACTTTGTCTCTTCTCTTTCTGGTGTCTCCATTTCCAAATACTTCTTTCTTCCTTATTATCCTTATTTCAGATCCTGTTCTCACTTAACATCATGGGAAACTTATTTCCTTAATGGAAACTGTTTATGTTTACTGTATTTAAAAAATAATTTTGATGTTATATAATTGTAAAAAAGACCCTTTCCTGAGAGAAAATGCCCAACCAATGAAACAACAGCATAAAGCAAGTCCTTCTATGCCTGTCAGTCTTTTCTTTGAGCTCAGAATCAAAGGTGTACCTCAAACAGGAAACTGGAATTTAATGGGCAGCGCAAGCATTGCAACAGAGAGAGATGGAGACTTTGTTTCTGGTTGTCAGAGGGGCCAATGCAATGAAGATGAGGTGCTAAGGAAAGATCACATATGACACAAGTTTAGGCCCACGGGATAAAATTAGTCCAGCCTCCGCTTTTACATTTAAGGAACCAGAAACTCAGAAAGTTCCATGACTTGTCTTAAAAAACCCCATCTCATCTACTGTCCTCCAAGAGTCAGCTCTAGCATGAGCTGCCCTGTGAGATTCTCCTCCTCAGATCCTTGTTCCGACTTCTGGTCTCTTTTTTCCTTCCCTGGAAAGTGAGCAGAAATTGTGAGCTGTGTTTTCCTAGGCATTGGCATACAAAAACAAACAAACAAATAAGAAAACAAAACAAAAACCTCAGTAAATATCTGTGCAGTGAACATATACATTCAGGTGATGCTGGCCAGTAGGAAAGCCAGGACTGGAATGCTTCCACCACATGGTGTGATCTACTCGGGGTTAGATCATTACAACATGGCAGACGTTAGAGGGCTGGGCTCCTGGCTCTTATTAGCTTTGTACTCTGGGAAAAGTGTCTTCTTTATTCTAATCCATAATTACCTTTTCTGCAAGACTATCATCAAGAACTCATTTAGATCCACTGTGCAATCCCACAGAGACCAGCGCAAAATGAGCGATGCCTCTGATTCTACTTCTTCAATTCTATAACACAAACTTTCCCACATTTTAACATTCTGAATAGGATGCCCTACATGTACCATGTATACTTAAAGGTTGGGTGAAAATTTCTTTGGCTTTTCTTTTTCTTTCTTTTTTTAATTTTTTGTTATTGTTAATCCTCACCTGAGGATTTTACTAGTATTTCCGTTGGCTTTGAGAGAGAGAGAGAAAGAGAGAGAGAGAGACATCAATGTGAGAGAGACACATCAATTGGTTGCCTCCCGTACACTCCCTGACTGGGGTGGGGATTGAACCTGCAACCTAGACATGTGCCCTTGACCAGAAATCTGACCTGCAGCCCTTTGGTGCATGGGCTGATGCTCTAACCACCGAACATACTGGCCAGTTTCTTTTTTTCTTTTTGAGAGAAAAATAAATATACTGTTGAACTAAATATGTGAAATATCTCAACACCTGGGAAAAACTCCTATCTTTTGTATTATTTTAGATTTAAGCTCCATGCATTAACATTCTCTTCTTTTTCTTTCTTTTTTAAATTTTTATTTTAGTGTTGAATGTCTGTGTTTTGGAAATGCATTCCTTTTTAACCCAGGAAGCTGTTTGTGTAAGCTTGTCACTGGACTGGTTCCAAACCAGGGGTTCTGTCCCGCCACCCCTATATGGTCCTGAACCTCAAGGCTCTTGACTTGTGTAGGAAAGAATTCAAGAACAACTCCCAGGGAGAGTGAAAGCAAGTTTTATTTAGGTAGAGAAAGAAAGAGGTCTGGATGTGGGTTCCTGGAGACAGGATCGGGGGTTGAGCCCAGGATTGGCTGCTGCCACCTGGTGCCCCCTGGTTGCAAGTCTCACAGGGCATGGACATGAAACAATACATGTCTGAGTGGACATGAAGAACTTGTGAGTTGTGCCTCGTGTGGTCAGTTAGTTCCTGGGATTTTATGTGTTTTCAGTTTCTGAACTTTGTGGCACCAAATTCTGTCTTTGCCTTTGGGTTGAGAGGGCGTCTTGTCCCCAACATGGTCCCTTCTGCAAGTGTCATGGTGTTTGTCCACCTGCCCCCCCTTTTACTTGTAATGTCAGTTTTCATTGTAATCCTATCTAATAAAGAGGGAATATGCTAGTTGACTGCCACACCCTCACAAGATGACAGCGCCCACAGCCACAAGATGGCGGCGCCCAGTCCCGTCAGCCCCACCTCATCCAGCCTCAGTTCCTCATTCCCCTCAGCCCTGCAGGGGAGGGCAGTTGGGGACTGTCATGCCAGCAGGAGAGCACTTGTCGTCAATTATGCTGGCAGGGGAGCGGTTAGGGGGCTATCAGGCTGGCAGGTAGAGTGGTTAGGGGCAATCAGGCCGGCGGGCAGGCGAGTGGTTAGGAGCCAACCGTCCCGGATTGTGAGAGGGATGTCCGACTGGCAGTCAGACATCCCCCAAGAGGTCCCAGATTGGAGAGGGTGCAGGCTGGGCTGAGGGACACGCCCGCCCTGTGCACGAATTTGTGCACCAGTCCTCTAGTGATGGTATAATGGACTTCGGCATTGGTCTTTGGTCATCTTTTCCTCCATCATGGATTAATCTGATTTTAGCCAATACTTGTTGATGACTCCTGTGAACACCACAGGAGTTTCCTGCCATAAACTGTTTCCCTTTGACCATGTATGGAGGTGGGGGCTTTGATGAGAGGACATAGCTAGCAGCTTATCGGCCTATGATGTTGCTTCTACTTTCTCATTCCCCTGGTTGGGAGTTTTTCCTAACTTCTTTCTGTCCTGTCTCAAGCTTATCATTGGATGTGTCTGTCACACTTGTGACATGAAGATGGAATTTCTTCTAATATTTAAAACATAGGCCATATAATAGTCACATTTTTAATCAATGGGATTGGTTCAACCTGAAGAACGCTAGGATCATTAGAGGTTAAATTATATGATAATTGAAATAATTGATCTCAGGCAAGCTCATGAAAACCAGGGAAAAAAGTGAATCCCTCCGAATAAATCCTGATAAAGTTTGTTTAAAGGTGTTATTAGAAGATCATAAGCCTATAGATATTTATGGGTTTAAAAAATACTGTTAGTGTCTTGTGGTGTGTGGTTGAAAATAAAGAGGTAGTTTTCTGTAGTTTGTATTTTCCTTTTTTTAAAAAAAATTTAATCCTTACTCGGGGATTATTTTTTCATTGATTTTTAGAGAGAGTGGAAGAGAGAGGGAAAGACAGAGAGAAATATTGATGTGAGAGAAATACATTGATTGGTTGCCTTCTGTATGCGCCTGACCAGGGCCTGGGCCAGGGAGGAGCCTGCAACCAAGGTACATGCCCTTGACCGGAATTGAACCCGGGACCTTACAGTCCACAGGCTGACACTCTATCCACTGAGCCAAACTGGCTAGGGATTCTTTATTTCTTATTAATGAATCCCTTAGAGATGCTTTGTTTATGAGATAACAGAAGGTAAGAAGGTAAAGGGTGAGAAGTTGAGTTTTTCACCCCAAAATATGCTTTTGGAATATTGATTATTTTAAGCTGGTTATTTTTAATTAACAAAAGACTTAGATAAAAAATTTGACCTCCTCTCCCTTCCCCCAACTACTAAAAGGATTTAGAGAGGACCTGCTCCAGGAAGGAAGCTATCCTATCTAATAAAAGAGAAACATGGTAATTAGCGTACGACCGCTACCCTTCCCATTGGCTAATCAGGGTGATATGCAAATTAACTGCCAGCCAAGATGGCGGCCGGCAGCCAGGCAGCTGGAAGCGAACATGAGGCTTGCTTGCTTCAGTGACAGAGGACTCCAATGTTCCCCGCCTGCCTTGCCGGCCTCTGAGCTGGCAGTTTGAAACATTGTAACAAATATAGAAGCTAAACAAAACCCCAGAAACCAGCTTTCAGCCGGCCGGGATCTCTAGAGCTGGAGTTATACATTGTTTCGATTATAGAACGCAAACAAACCAGATACCTGCTTTCAGCAGCAGAAGCCTCAGAGCTAGAGCCAGAGCTAAAGCTGGCCCAGAATAAAAAAAAAGAAAAAGAAAAAAAGGAGCGGTTGGGAGCTTCAGTCAACCACCAGCCTGAAAGCAGCCCTCAGCCCCTCACCCAGACTGGCCAGGCACCCCAGTGGGGACCCCCATCCTGAAGGGTGTGTGACCAGCTGCAAACAGCCATCATCCCCTCATCCAGGCTGGCCAGGCACCCCAGTGGGGACCCCCACCCTGATCCAGGACACCCTTCAGGGCAAACCAGCCGGCCCCCAGGCCTCTATCCTATATAGTAAAAGGGTAATATGCCTCCCAGCACCAGGATCAGCGGAGCCGCGAGGCCTCCTGGCCCTGGATCAGCGTGACAGGGGGCAGCGCCCAAACCCCCTGATGCCCTGCGGATCTGTGTGTGACAGGGTGCGGCGTCCCAACTTGCCTGGCTTGTGTGTGACAGGGTACGGAGCCCCAACCCCCTTGATGGGCCCTGCTCTGTCGTGACAGGGGGCAGCGCCCCACCCCCTGATTGGCCCTGCTCTGTGCCTGACAGGGGGTGGCGCCGCACCTCCCCATCGACCCTGCCTTGAGTGTGACAGGGGGCGGTGCCCCACCCCCCCAATCGGCCCTACCCTGAGCATGACTGAGGGTGCCATCGCAACCTCCCAATCCGCCCTGCTTTGTGCATGACAGGGGGCGGCGCCCCAACTCCCCAATCCGCCCTGCTCTGAGCCCGACCAGGGGCTGCACCTAGGGATTGGGCCTGCCCTCTGCCACCCAGGAGCAGGCCTAAGCCAGCAGGTCGTTATCTCCTGAGGGGCCCCAGACTGCGAGAGGGCACAGGCCGGGCTGAGGGACCCCCCCCTTCCCCCCGAGTGCACAAATTTTTGTGCACCGGGCCTCTAGTTATAGATAGCTATAGTTTACCATGAGCTAAGTGTGCTAGGGAGGAAGCCAGGAAGGCCCTTTGATCAAAGTCCTCTCTGTGACCCTTGTTAAAGACAGCCCAGCAAACAGTTACTTACCAGACATTTACTTTTCCATCTCCATGTGAATTGTCTTGCTGCCCTTTAAAGTCCAAGACCATAATCGACATCCTCTCTCCTTAGCTCAAGGTGGCATATAAGCCTTAACTGCCCTACTTCTCCTTGGTCCCGTATTCTTTTTATTTTTTAAAAACATATTTTATATTGATTTCAGAGAGGAAAGAAGGAGGAGGAGGAGAGAGAGAAACATCAATGATGAAAGAGAATCATTGACGGGCTGCCTCTTGCACGTCCACTACTTGGGATCGAGCCTGCAATCGGGCATGTGCCCTGACTGGGAATTGAACTATGACCTCGTGGTTCATAGGTCGACTGTCAACCACTAAGCCAACTCCGGGAGAGCAAGGGTCCCTTATTCTTATGGAACCCCCACATGTGCATACATAATAAGTTTGGTCATTTTTTCCTGGTAATCTGTCTCATGTTAATTTGATTATTAGTCCAGACAGAAGACTTCAGAAGGCTAGAAGGGAAATTTATTTTTCTGCCCCCACCAGGGCATCAGGTGGTTCTGCAGAGCTTGATTCCAGGTGCTGGGTTTCCTCAGTCTCACCGCCATGGCCTTGTGATAAAGTCCATAGCTGCTTGGCTCTAGCTCAGGTAACTGACATCTTCAATCTTTAGCCCTCCTTTTGCTTTTCAAACCTGTTACAAAATTTCCAGCTGGAATGGATTCAGTTTCCAAAAGAGAGAAAAAAAAAGGCTCACTAAACAGTTATTCCCATCAAATACAAGATTTCAAAATTCAGCATTTTCATCACATGTTTACTGAAGTTTTAAATTTCAGAGTAAAAAATTAAGAGCATGTTAAGAGGCTTCTATTTTATGCAAACCGTTTGGTATTAAGCAATCTTTTTGTTGAGTCTGTTTTTAAAAAGGGAGGGTGTTTTGGCAAATTAGAAAGTTAAAAGATTAAATCTGAAAGATTGAGTGCTGCCTGTAGTAATTGTGTTGCCTTAAAGAGGCTGAAACTACTAATGGTTTGAAATGAGAAATAAAGAACTGATCTTGAGAAAAGCCCAGTTCTTTTAGTCCTTTCCATCCTTCTCTTTTGGCTTTAAAAGTTGCTGCTGTAACAGAAAGGGAATTGACCACACAAGTGCTGAGCATACATGATCCCAAACCCACAAGAAGAAAAAAACCCAAAAAGTTGTTTCACACGTGGTCCTGAATGCTTATTCTGTGAATTTAGAAGTTTGAGATTTACCTAAAATATCATAAACATTTCTGTAAATATAAGGTTTTACATTTTTGGTGCATAGGATGATGCTCCAACCAACTGAGCCACACCAGCCAGGGCATGTTTTACATTTTTTAATACTGTTTATCTTTCCCTTTTAGTTGATTAAACCTACTCATTTTAGTTTTTCTCTTTGCAGATGAAAGCCAAAAAATTCTAACATGGTGCTTAGGTTGTCTGATTAACAAAGAACCACAGAATTCTGGAGAATCGAAACTGAACTCCTGGACACGGGTAAGAGCGTAAGCTTGCCCTGCGCTGCTTTGAATTAAATTGTTTAAAGGTGCTGCTGACTGTGCAGTTCCAGGATGTTTTAGAAACATTTCAAACATACCCTGTGCTGTTACATTGTCTTGCTGAGTGTAAGGTTAAAGAGATTTTATTTTTGTTTGTGAAGTCTGTAAAACATTGGTCTTTAGGGTGAACTTTCCTATGCCTCCAAGACCTCATGTTGAGTGGTTTTGGAAAGTTACTTTCAGGTAATGTAAAAGAATGCACCCTGTTTCCCTCCAGCAATTGCTATCCTTCCAAAAATTGTTCCTCCCTACCAACCTAGTTTAAATACTGTAATTATGTAATTCCTCTCCAGGTGCTTCTCTCCCTCTTTCAGAATCTATTCTGTAGTAAAACTAAAATTCAGAAGTTCCCTGGGAATAGTAGTCTTTATTTTGTGTCCCCAAGTTGGTGCCCAGGCCAGTATGCTCAGACTAGCACCTGGTGCTAGTTGGCTGCTGTTGCTCACAGTCAAATTGGTTACTCAGCTGTGCTAGTCCAGATAGCTGACAGCTCCCGGCATTCACCATGGCTGTTTCTGCTTCCTCCTGAAGGGTAGACACAAGTTGCAGACTGTTGTGAGGCTGGGCTGTGACTGCCCTCAACGCCAGCAAGTTGGCTATTCTTTTCTCTTACTCCCCACTGTCTTGCTGCCATAACCCCAAGGACTCGCTGAGGCCTGTCAGACTACTTAGTATGCACATGGTTCAGGTTGCTGTTTAGTATTGTGAAATCACCCACCTAGATTAATGCATGTGGTTTTGTCTATCAATCTGACTGGTGATATAATATCATTTATTGCTTTTTGACCATTCCTTTGTTTAATACAATATTGCAGACAGAGATGGCAAAGACAGTATTTTTAATTTCCTGTTATATTCAAAGAATAGAAGGGAAAGGGAAAGAAGAAGTGAAAAGGACTGGGTGAGGGAAGGAAAGAATGCAAAATTTAATTAGAAGGAAAATTAATGCAAAGAACTGAAGAAAGGAATGGATAAGTGGAATTAGAGTTGAAATAATATGAAAAATAAGGCTATAGGATAACATATTTATTCTTTAAGGTTTTAAATTGTTGCTTCTGTTGAGTATGTGATATTTTAATGATTATTTAGGATTTTTTTTATTGCCTAGCTCAATACGTTCTGACATAGACCATCTAATTAAATATTTTGGATGATTGGGTTAACTTTTTTTATTTCACTGACTCTATTCGCCCATTAAAAATTTTCTAGCCTTGCATTTTATTCTGTGGGTTTCTCTTATGTAATGTAGTGTCTGTTTATCATTAGGTAATTATTAAGTATAACTCAGGGAGATAAAGTAAAAGCACTTCATTCCTATCTTCAGAGAATTCTCAGACTGGCCAGGTCATCCAAGGGCAGTGTGATGGGTATTAGTAGAGCTGTAAATAGGTGTGATGGCAACACAGAGGAGGAACACTTGCTCAGACTTCAGGGTTTGGAGACATTTCCTGGGGGAGATGATGTATTAGCTGAATTTTGAAAGATGACCAGAGAGCAGGGATAGAGTTTTAGGAGTGATATTGCTGTCAGCAGAAAGTGTATGTGCAAAGAAAGCATGGTGGTGAGAAAGCAAATGTTGCATCTGGGGAACTCAGGTACTTACTAGGTATACTGTTAATAATGGCGGATTTTGTAATCAAAGAAAACACGATAATTCCAAGAGAAACATCAAAAATGCTTTATTCAAAGTAATGTTCATCGCTAGCTACACATTTCCCCCATCTTTCAGGTAATTTGTGGATACCGTCCCAATAGAACTTTTCTTATTTTGAGGCAGACCATTCAGAGACCCAATTTTCCACTTCTTCATACGTTTTGAAGTGCTGCTCAAAAAGTGCGTGTGCCATCGATCGGAACAAGTGGGAATCTGAAGGAGCAAGGTCTGGTGAATACGGTGGGTGGGTTAATACTTCCCAGGCAAGATCTTTTAACGTGTCTTTAACTGGTTTTGAAGTGTGTGATGGTGCGTTATCATGAAGCAAAATTACTTTGCCATGTCTTCTGGCCCATTCTGGTCCTTTTATGATTAAAGCATGGTTCAAATTGATTATTTGTTGTCGGTAGTGATCAGTATTAATGGTTTCACCTGGTTTTAGAAACTCATAATACACCACACCTTCCTGATCCCACCAAACACAGAGCATTGTCTTCTTTCTGAAGCCATTTGGCCTTACAGTCGATGTTGATGGTTGACCTGGATCAACCCTTGGTTTTGTGCATTTGGGAGTCTCAAAATAAATCCACTTTTCATCGCCAGTAACAATTCGATGCAAAAAAGACTTTCTTTCGTGCAGATGAAGCAACATTTTACTGATGACTTTTTGGTTTTCCATTTGTCTTTCGTTCACTTGATGTGGCACCCATTTTCCTTCCTTTAAAATCTTTCCCATTGCTTGTAAATGATCGGCAATTGTTTGCTGAGCAATGTTTAATCTTTCTGCAAGTTGTTTTTGGTTTGACACCCATCATCATCCAATAATGCTTGTAATTGTTGGTCTTAAAACTTTTTCTGTTGATCTGGATGTTCTTTGTCTTTCACATTGAAATCATCACTTTTAAAGCATTTAAACCAGCGTTCACAAGTATCTTGAGATGGAGCATGTTCATCATAAGCTTCCCGAAGTATATGATAACTTTTTCTTCAAAATAATGAATTAAAACTTCCCGCAAATGCTCTTTTTTTGGCACAAAATTCGACATTTTTAAGCATAAAAATATCTATGATGTTAACACCTTCAGCAAATTTAACATAAGAAGTTTTGAAGCTTGTTGTCAATACAACAAAATAGCATACATATCAAATTTCATATATATCAACATATGTGTAACTCCATCTATTGAAAAAAATCTGCCTTATTAACCGGTACACCTAGTACATGGAATAAAAACAACAACAAACAAGCTCATAGATACAGAGAATAGACTGGTGGTTGTGGAGGGTTGGGGTGGGGAAAATGGGTTAAAGAGTAAACATTTCCAGTTATAAGAGAAATAACTGGTGATGTAATGTACAGCATGGTGACTATAGTTAATAATACTGTATTGTATATTTCAAAGTTGCTAAGAGAGTAAGTCTTAAAAAAAGTTTTCATCATAAGAAAAAAGAACTGTTTTGCAATTGTGGCGATGGATGTTAATTGGACTTATTTTTGTAATCAACTTGCAGTACATACAAATATCAAATAATGTGCACTTGAAACTGTTATATGTCAACTGTTATATCTCAATAATAATAAAAAAGTCACATGTGCCAAAATAAAGGTGAGGAAGGGAAAGAGATGATGAAGTTTCACGATTAGAAATGTTCTCCAAGGAGGTGACTTTTTAGGAGAGATTTAAATTAGCTGAATGAATAAGCCCTATTTTTTTTTTGCAGCCTATCAATGCCTCTCTCCCGCATCTATGTCTCTCTCTCTCTCTCTCTCTCTCAATCTCAATCTCTCTCTCTTTCTCTCTCTTTTGGGGGAAGAACTCTGACTTTTGCCACTCCATCCTGCATCCAAAAGCCTGTCTCCTTGCTCATGGAGGTTCTCCTACCACCTGTGGGATATTCAGCCCTAATTTTTTTTTTAAATTCTACTTGGTTATCTTTCTTTTTCTTATTGATTTGTAGAAATTCTTTTTTTAAAATATATTTTATTGATATTTTACAGAGAGGAAGGGAGAGGGATAGAGAGTTAGAAACATCGATGAGAGAGAAACATCGATTAGCTGCCTCCTGCACACCCCCTACTGGAGATGTGCCCGCAACCAAGGTACATGCCCTTGACCGGAATCGAACCTGGGACCCTTCAGTCGGCAGGCCGACGCTCTATCCACTGAGCCAAACCAGTTAGGGCTGTAGAAATTCTTTATATGTGTTGAATATAGGTACCATTTTTATTGCATGTATTGCAGCTATTTTTTTCCACACTATGGTTTATGTTTTTGTGTTTACATTTTCTCACTTTCTTTTAAAGAAGATTTTTAAAAAATTGATTTTAGAGAGAGAGGAAAGTGGGGAGAGAGTCAGAGAGAGAGAGAGACAGACAGACAGACAGACAGAGGGGGAGAGAAAGAAAGAGGGAGAGAGAGAAACATTGACATGAGAGAGAAACATTGATCAATTGTCTCTCTTATGCATCCCAACTAGGATTGAACCCACAACTTAGGTATGATCCCTGATCAGAAATCAAATGTTCAACCTTTTTGGTACACGGTATGACATTCCAACCAACAGAACCACCTGGTCAGGGCTCAAGGAAGATATTTTAAATTTTATTATAGTCAGATTTATCAATCTTTTCCTTTGTGGTTAATAACTTCGTATTTTATTTAAGAAAATTTTCCCTACTCCAGGGTCATGAAGATCTTCCATCTTCTAAAAGTATATTGGTTTGCCTTTGCCATTTGGTCTGTGATCTACCTGTAACAGTTTTATTGAATGGTCTAAGGTGGGTGTTTATATTTCTTTTGCTTCCATATGGATACCCCATTGTCCCAGCACCATTATTTCAAAATCTTTTCCTCACTGAAGGAATAAGCCCTATTTTGTTACCTTCATAAAAAATAGGGTGTATTTGTATTTAGGTGCAGGTATGAGCCTAAATCTCTTGATTAGTCTCATTGTATATGATGGTTAATTTTATGTGTCAGCTTGACTAGTCCATGGTGTGCCAGCTGTTTAGTCAAACATTATTCTGGGATGTGATTAACATTTAAACTGATAGGCTGAGTAAAGCAGATCATCCTCCCTAATGTGTGTGGATTTCACCCAATTAGTTGATGGCCTGAATAGAACAAAAAAGCTGACCCCTCCTATAAGGGTTTTCTCTATACTGGACTCTGATAAACATTGGTCCTTGAGTGAACTCTAAATTGTATGTTGTTGTTTTTTTTTTGTTTTTTTTTAGTGTAACACATCATTGTCGGAGCATTCTACAGAGAGTGCCCTGCATT